TGCTTAGCAAATTTAGAAGTGCTGTGCAAATATCAATTATTATTATATGCCACTATGCTTCTTCATTAAATGTTCGAGGAATACTAGAAGATCTTCAAGGTTCCTTTCAGTTTTAACAGTTTATTCATTCCTATAGCCAAAATTATTTTTATCCTTTTCCTTTGTGGAGGAAGGAAGTCTAGACTTATGATTTTGTCACAGGAGTGAACTTCAGGTGTTGAAACTCCTTCCACCAATGTAGATGAACTACTCTTCCATAACCTACATTCTTAGAGAGTTGTCTGAGGCACTGAGAAGTCGAGTACTTGTCCAGGCCACACAGCCTGGCCCCTAAGATGCCATGAAATACCAACTCTCAGTGAATCCCCATTCTCTTTAATTTATCCAATGTTAGACTTTGAACTACAGAGATAGTATCAGAGGATTTTTAGATATGGGTTATAGTTTTACCTGATATTTAGTAATTTGTTTTTGTCTTGGTTGCTCATTGCTGACATAACACTGACTTTCATCTAATCTCTCTGGTCCTGATAGGAACCTCAACAGACAGTGGGGAGTAAGAATAGCCTGAAGCCATGTTACCTTAGGACGCCTAGGCTTAACCAAAGCAAAGGACTAAGCTGCCTCTCACTCTTTGTCGGCAAGCATGGTTTTCTGTGGCCAGATACTGTCAGAGAGACTACAACGGATGCATAGACATAGGAGCACAGTCTATTTTTCAAGACTAATAAGCGCATACCAATCTGAGTTTATAAATTTGGCACGTATTTATGAATGAGCACCCAGGTTTGAGTGGCTTCATCATGCCAAGGGCCTATTTATTTCAGCCATGCTTTTAGGGAAAAACAAATTAACATGTTATAAATAAGATTGTTACTACATGTACAGCTTAGAAGACTATCACTGTTTTCTGAGAAGTTGATACAGATTTTACTTACTGAGAGTCATGGTATACCAGAGTTAGCACTTTGCACAGAGGCTGGTAAACTAGTAAGTGCTTAATAGATTTTTATTGTTGACCCAAGAGGCCATCTAATCCAAATACCTGACTAGTCACCCACTACAACATACCTGAAGTAGTCCTGAAACCTTTGTCCAAAGACTGCTAATGAGGGAGAACTCATTACCTTATAAAGAAGTCCATTAAGCTCTTGTATTGTTCTGTTATGAGTCTTTTTTTTTTTACCCTGAAATCAAGACAAAATTTGTCTCTTTATAATTTCTATCTATCATTCCTAGGTCTGCCATCTGAGGTTAAGCAGGACAAATTTAATCACTCTTCAAATATTGGAAAATAGCAATCATTGCTATTCACCCTTGTCTTCTCTTTTCAAATCCAAACACCTCCAAGTGCTTCCACTGATTCTAATATGGCAAGACCATGAGGCCCTTCAACTCTTCTTACTGTCCTCCTCTAGATGCTGTCCAGTTCTTGCCTAAAAAAATGAAGAGCTCAAGTCAACAAACATTTATTAAGTGTTTACTATGTGCCAGACACTGTCCTACACCCTGAAATACAAAGAAAAACACAACACAAAAACAAAACAAAACAAACAAAAATTTAAAATGCTGCACTGCCTTAATGTTGCACAATAATTCCCATGCAGCATTTTATCAAAACCCAAAGTCTACCCTTTCTAGTATGAGATAGAAGATGGGAGTACTGACGTAATTAGCAGAGGACTAGAATAAGGCTGGATTTAGTTCTAATTATGATACTCAACTCTCTGACCCTCAGTTTCCTCACTTGTAAAATGGGCATAATGATATTCACTTTTCCTGGCTTGTGAGGTTGTTATAAGGATGAAATGCCTAATAAATGTGAAAGGTATATACATGTATGTATATATATATATATATATATATATATATATATATATATATATATATATATATATATATATATATGTATATATATATATATAATATGTGTATGTGTGTGTATATATATATAATATGCATGTGTGTGTGTTTATATATATATATAATATGTGTGTGTGTATATATATATAATATGTATGTGTGTGTGTGCATATATATATGTATGTGTGTATGTGTGTGTATATATTTATGTATGTGTGTGTGTATATATATATATGTGTGTGTGTGTGTGTGTGTGTGTGTGTGTGTGTGTGTGTGTGTATGTGTGTATACTCAAGCCCATATATAAACAGGATAAATTTTGCTAATTTAAATAAAATATCTCAGGGCCCCTGTGCTGGGCCAGCAACATTGTTTACTATTTGTGCCAGAATCTGTTTCACTTCTCCTTAATGCTATTGTCTTCCCTTTGAGATTCTCTTAAATTTATTCTATATATATCGCTTGTACATAGTCATTGGCATGTTGTCTTCACCCGTTAAACTATGAGCTCCTTGGAAACAGGGATGTCTTTCATCTTTCTTTGTATTCCCAGACTTTAGTACAATGCCTGGAACACAGTACATGCTTAATAAAATTCTTGTCAATTTGACTTCTCATTTCTCATTACCCTCCCCTTGTATCATTGAAATCAATTGTGCTTCTTCAGATAAAGTGCCATGGTCATTGTACACAGGTTTGCCAGTACATAAAGTCATTTGTATTGTTCATGTCATGTAAGATGCTTTTTTAAATTTTTTTAAAATAACTTGAATGCAGTTCTCACGGCTCTTACAAGTCAACCATGATTCACCCCACCATATGGTATTCCACAGTATTTACTAATAGCCCTGAATTTAGTCACTTTTCTATACCGCCAGAACACATATTTTATCCAGGCAGAGAGGGCCCTAATAAAAGGTGTGAAGCAGGCAGATTTTCTATTTAATGATACCACCCTTTTCATCTTTTGACCTTTTCCTTCCTGGGGTTCCATGTGCCTTCTCTTTTTAGGTAACTAGTGCCCTAGTTTTCCTTCTGCTGACCTTTTCCACTAAAAAAAAACTGATCTGGGAATCCTTCATATATACTAAGATGTAAATAACAATCAATAACACAAGCTCTGGCAAGGGCTGCCAAAGTGGAAGGCTTCCAGTGATGGATTATATGTCCATCATCAGAGCACCAGCCAAAGTTCAGAGATTCTCATGCCCAGGTTGGTCATGGAGAGGGAAGATTGAATTTGGGTGTCATGTATAAAGGTCCTGATTTGAAATGATGTGCACATTCTCACTCCAAATTAAATCAATGTTTCCTAAAATATTGAAATAAATTCTCTTTACATGTAAGGTCAATCCCAATATCAAAGTCATAGCCCAAAATGCTGATTTCCTTTATTTCAAGATCTGAGTATTTTGGAAGGAAAGGGCAAGATAAAAAAACAAACTTCCCAAAATGGACTGGTAAACTATCAAATTTATTTTTGTTGCTGTCAAGTACTATAGAATCTCATGAGATCTGAGATTAAATGTATTTTAGAGAAAGAGCTACTACCTTGACAGGAAAGGTTATTCATAGTGCTGCATGATTTTAGGAAAGTCATTCAGTCAATTAGCAAGTATTTATTAAGCACTCGTTCTGTATCTGGATGGCCCCAGAGTTGTTCCAGAGAATTAAGTAAAGGAATTGGTGAAGGCAGAGTATTCTCTCTATTAGAGGTCTCTATGGAAAGAAAGGAAAATGAAAAATAAAAGAACATCCCTAACGTAGCTTTAAGGAGAATATGAGATGCCAAAATTGATCAATTCAGAGAAAAAGCCATTTTAAAGCAACTATTTGACTGAATTAGATGTTTATAGGTCAATTTATTTGAAGTAATAAACCTAGTAGGCTGAAATAAAGTCAACTTTATTGATATAAGTTTATTTAAGTCAATGTTTATTTATTGAAATGCTCACTCTGGCTCAAACCCTGTGCTTAAGGCTCAGGATTAAGAGAAAAGCAAAAACAGTACCTTCCCTCAGGGTCCTTATATTCTAATGGGGGAGACAATATACAAACAAGTCTGTAGCTGGATGCAATGGATGTGGAAGGGAACCTCAGAAGGAAGACACTTGTGGGGTCAGAGAGGTTTCCAGGAAAGATTTTTTTGGGGGGCTAGGCAATGGGGTTAAATGACTTGCTCAGGGTCATATTGCTCAGGTGTTATGTGTCTGAGGCTGAATTTGAACTCAGGTCCTCCTGACTCCAGGGCTGGTGTTCTATCCACTATGCCACCTAGCTGCCCCAAGGAAAGACTTCTTGTTGAAGGCAGAATTTGAATTGAGATTTGAAGGGAGCCAGGGAAGCCAGGAGGGAGAGAAAAGGAGGGAGAGCATTCCAGGCATGGCGGACCAGGAAGAGCATAGAAATGCAGACAGTCATAAAACCATCTGGGCCATAGAGCAGATGGCAATATGCTGAGCCCATACCCAAACATCCCTTATAATGACAACCTTATTTAAATAACACAGGTCAGGGAGAAACAAACTGGAAGAGGCATTTATTTTCTGTAACAAAGTCCATTTCTTAGAAGGAAGGCAGGTGGGGTGGGGAATCAGTCACATACCATTGTAATGAACGATTCTTTCCTTGGGAATAATCACCCTATGACGACTACCCTCCCATGTGAGCAATGAGATAAGCAGTTGGGAATGTCAACAAGGAGAAGGTGTTCTGGGATACCTGCAAAGGTGGACTTTGGGGCATAAATGCTGAGAAAAGTTGAGGGTTGCAAGTTGTTTGGGAAAAGCCTTCAGGTTAACCAGTCACTTTTGTTCAACATGCAATGACATACAAGAGAAATTAATCCACCCCTAGGTGAGGAACTGCATCTAAGGATCCTACACAAGGAAGCTCCCTGGGTAGTTTTCTACATTAGATAGATGAAGGTCGAGCTGATCATTGCTTCAGTGAACTATAGGAAACCATCCTCTTAGCCTTCTCTCAGCTGTTGTGTAGCACAAACAAGGTAAGACTGGTCACATCATTGTATTGACAATTGTTTTCAAGACTATACCTGGGTGACTTTTGAAAAAAAAATTGAATAATAGGCTTACAAAAGAAAGGAGAGAAGAGACCTTATGTGATAATAGCTCCAGTTCAGTTTAATGTATATTATATTGCCATGCAAGAAAACAAGCAGAATTCTGGAAGCCTACATCCAAATATGCTGACAATCCACTGGGTTTATTTTTCTTTTTACAGCTCAACAGACTCCAAACATCATCAAAAGTCCAAGGGAAAAATCAGGGTAGCACATGAGGAGATCTGCAAAAAGATATTACAACAACTTACAGAGTTAGCAAAGTACTCCATAATGACAATCAGATCAAAGGCAGTCTGAAACCAATGTTATAGCCTTAGAAATCCCAGAAACCCTGCTTTGAGCCTCAAGTCTTCACTGAGAGGTAGAGTTGGAAGCCACCCTTGCCATATCTTTTCACTTAGTATACTGAGAAATCAGGCCCTGACAAAATAAATCAAAAATGATATCAAAAGCATCTACGATATATCTTTAGGAGACCAGCTGGCAGAGGAGGCCGTTGGACTCTAGGCTGAGGTCAGCATCTAATGGCACATATGGCTGCATATCTGCAACTGCTCCATCAAGATGATTCGTGATCCATACTTTACTGCATCAATGACTGGCTCCATGATCTCTCTGATGTGGGCCCTCCCTCCACTGCTACTGATGATAGCCCATCCACAACTTCTCATCCTGTGCCATTCTTGTCTATGTCTTCTAAGACACCATCCACAGAGGATCTACCTAGCTTCCTAAAAGATTTCCTTAAGAATATGCTGAAGGATATTCTGGAAACTAGTACATCCTCCCAATCTCCATCAGGTGCCTCTTGATCTAAATGTTGATTGAACCACCTCCTTTTCTAATCATATATTTCTCTAATAACACCTTGTATACCATTTTTGTACACTGGTCATAAATGGTAATACGTCAAAATCTCCTTATGCCCAACAAACATCTTTCCATTGTCCTCTAAAGACTGTATTGTTTTCAGCACCGGCCCTGGATTCAGGAGGATCTGAGTTCAAATTCAGCCTCAGATACTTGACACTTACTAGCTGTGTGACCCTGGACAAGTCACTTAACCTCATTGCTTAGCCAAAAAAAAAAAAGAAAAAGAAAAGAAAAAGAAAAGAAAAAAAGATTTTATTATTTTAAAGAATATGTATAGCAGCTATGCTTTTGGGTTATTCGCCAGGGTTATCCCCTTACTGCTTTTCCTGCTAGTCCTTTGAGACAGTAGAGATAGTCACTCTTGATAACCTGGAAAAATATGTAAAGACATTTATATGATTTGGGCCCTTCATTTTCCCTTTTTTTCCTTATTTGCCTGCTTTTTGAAAGCTTTGTTAGTCCTTAGTAGTTCTACCAAGGACTGGGTTGATAAAATTAGATCATAATTGAAATTGGTTAAATTGCTTATTTTTTTTACTAGCTATAGTAAAAATTATGTCAAGAAGAGAAACTTGTAATTAAGATGATTTACCTATGGCTTTTAATCATCAACTCCTTTCTTGTGTACATGAAATCCTGTGGAGGGTTTTGGGAAAGATGTGGACAAGAATTTCACAGAGGTAGTAAATGGACTCCTATTTGCAGCCAGACAGAAGTTTAGGATTTCTAAAGGCATCATGAATCTGTTAGATGCCAATGCAGTTTTGTTTCTTTCTTTTATTCAATTCTTGGCCCAACTTATTTCTCATGTACAGCACCATGTTAGATACATGAACTTACTGGAAATATCATCCATGCATGGCAATCCACTGCCACCAAAGGAGCAGCCATGCAGTGAGAAAGATAGTTTGGGAAGGTGATATGATGGCTTAGAGGGAAAAAAAGAAACACTTTCACAAATGGCCTCTTGTGCATATATGCAACTAGGAAACAATGGCAGGAGGTAGGCCCCTCTAACTTGTGTCACTGAGACAGACCACAGACAGAACATTTTGTAGACTGTGAGGTGAGCAGGCATAGGGACAAATCCTGGCAGGCTCTGCAATGAAAGCCTCACCAAGGGCATACTACACACACTTTCACTGAACAGTTGGCTGGATTATACGCTAGCCTTTATGGTCACAGTAGGACATCTACAAGATGTTGTCAGCAACCCTAACTACTGAACACTATCAGGTGGAAAAAATATTGACAAACACCAGATTAATTTTATTTTTTCCTCTCTCTTTTTCTTCCTTTTTTTCCATTCATTCTTTCTCTGTCTCTTTCATTTTCCTCCTTCTTCTTCTTCTTCTTCTTCTTCTTTTTTTTTTTTTGGTAACTGACTAATCCTATCTTACCTGGGCTCAGCTGCAGTAAGTGCCTAATGGCTGAATTTTACTGCTAATCAGCACAGAAGCTTTGACTTAGTATAGACACCCAATCAGCTATAATAATAATAAATAATAGCTAATATTTATATAGCACTATGTACATAGTATAAACACTTTGCAATTATTGTTTCCTTTGATATTCACAACCACCCTGGAAGGTATTATTATCCTCATTTTTTACAGGTTAAGAAACTGAGGTTAAGTAATTTTCCCATGGTCACATGCCCACTAAATATCTGAGCCTGGATTTGAACTCAGGGCTTCCTGACTCCAGGCCTGGCTCTCTATCCACTGCACCACCTACTGCTCTTTGGTTCTACTGCAACTCAGAGCTTTCAAGCTCAAGCCTCTCTGCCCGCAGAGATTTACAAAGGAGTTCACCACATTCATCCGAGGCTAATATTCAAGGGTATAAATCTACACCTTCCACTTTTTTTATTCTTATGTATTTAGATTTATATAACTTGTAAATGTGATTGTGTTGATTAATAGATGTAACAGTGAGATGCTATCAATTAAAGCATTTATCATTTGAAGAAAATCTTTTTTTTTTTAATAGCCATAACAGACATGTCTTATTTAGGGCATATGCCTCTTATGCAGGGGGTAACTCTATTTTTTGAGCTCAAAATCAAAGGGATATTCCTTTTTCAAATCGCATTAAACATCCACTCTTGAAAAGAGGATTGGTTTAGAAAATTCTGTTGTCATTAAAATGTATTCCTGTTTTATTTTCTTTGGAAGATCAGGAATACATTTTAATGACAACAGGAGGAACAGTAGACATTAAGAAGAATTGGTGATTGTAAAGTTTATGAGACATCAGGATATCTTGTTAAGCATGGTTATGGAATTTCTTTCTTTGGAAGAACATTTTTGTAAAGGTATGTTGTTCTCAATGAGGAGTTCTTAACCTGAGGTCAATGAATTCTTTTAAAAAATTCATGGGGGCAGCTAGGTGGCACAGTGGATAGAGCTCCAGCCTTGAAGTCAGGAGGACCTGAGTTCAAATCGGAACTCTGACACATAACACTTACTAGCTACGACCTTGGGCAAGCGACTTAACCCCAATTGCCTCACAACACACACCAAAAAAATTCATATTTTATTGTATATCTTATTATAATTTGTTTCCTTTGCAATCATATGCATTTTATTTTGTTCATCTAAAAACATTATTTTGAGGTGTTTATAGTCTTCACCAGACTGCCAAAAAGGTCCATGACATCACAAAAAAGGGGGTTAAGAATCTCTACTTTAGTGAGAGGTAGGATGATTTTAGCTTTGTATTCAGTAATACAGGATTCAAGCCATGTGATCATGGGTAAATTATTTACCTTTTAATGCCCCTAATAATTCAATTTAATTTAATGCTCTAATACTATAAACTATAGATGCTGATTTGCATCATTATAAGGAATTTCCAAACCAGAAGCTCATGTAGAAATGAAATCATAATCCAGATAAAAACATCCTCCTAGTAGTGGAAGAATGAAAACTTGGTGGGTGGACCATGTGACTTCTTGAGAGTCCTTTCAAATCTTATTTTATCTGAGGTAAGAGAAGACACGAAAGGTGTAAGTATTTGAAATCCTCAGGTAAGCTATCTAAATCACTAATTCTTCTTCTCAATATGAATTTTCATTTACCACATCCAGTAAAAAAAAATAAATAAGTCAACTAATATGAATTATGATCTCATATTATTTTATCAACTGAGTCTTTGATAGTGATTCTGAGAAACAATACTGGTAAAAAACAGAGAAAACAGGAAGGCAAGGAACAGCCGGCAGCCTAGATAATATACAAGCCCCAAACACCATTCTCCAGGCAATTGAGAGTTTACTCTCTCTCCTGTCTCAATGGCCTGGGAGGAATAAAGAGCACTGGGCCACTGCTGGAGAACTCCCTAAGAGCACAGTTTCTATTCATCCTCTGTAAAGCCACAGACACCCTGGGTCTGAAGGTTCCAGGTCGTCGAGGGGCCCAGTCCTGTACGCTCCTGCACCATACTCGTGCCTAAACCTATTCTGTGGCTTGGAGTATACAAAGCACCTCTGTCCAGTCATGCACAGCACGTCCTGCCAGTTCAGCAGGTGTGGCCCCTGTATGCAGAGGTGTGCCACTAGAAGAGTTAAAGAGTTACTAGCCCTCTCTGGCCTTCCTAATCTTTAATACAATCCACCTGCCCCATTGCTTTGCAAAGTGAAGTTTGACAGAGACAGAACCCTTTGGCCCCCTGCCAGGCATTCAAGGCACAGGGTATTTGGCAGTCCTAGCTGCCACTTTGTTTACACAATTAGCATTTTGATGATAAACCCCAAACCTACCAAATATACCACACCCAAGAAAACAGGATTGAAATAATGTGGGCCAACCAGCAGGCAGAATTCTTAGTTCAGGAATAACATTCCAATCCTCCCCGTAAAAGGACAAAACCTGGGCAAGGCATGTGAGGGGATCCCTTCCCTTGAAGGAAATCTTCAATTTCACTGACCTATCCCTATACAAAACCACTTTCTTTCAAGAAGAGCTGGTTGTCCCTACCAAGCCAAACAGCATCCCATTTATATCATATCTCTCCCCATACCCCATTGACTGTAGGATCAAATATAAGCTGCTCTATTTGGCTTTTAAAGCCCTTCAGGGCCTGACTCAAACCTATATTTCAATCTCATTACACATCACTCCCCTTCCTGAACTACAATTCAGCCAAACTGGCATTTGTGATACATCTCTACTGTCCCAGTGCCCATGCATTGACTATCCCCCAGGCCCAAAATGTGCTCCCTCCTTAACTTTGCTTTTTAGAACCTCTCTTTTCCTTCAGAAGTCTGCTCAAGTACCATCATCTACATGAAGCCTTTCCCAAACCCTCTCCTATGATAATGCATTTACCTTGTATTAATTGTGTA